TCTATATATGTGCGGATGGTGGTTTGTTGTTTTTGTTAAACCCATTCATGCTTGATGTATCTGTCACAACTATGTGTACAAATGGGGTTTCTTAAAATGGGGGATCCCAAAAACCATGGATTTCAATACTAAAATGCTCTACTTTTGGATGATTTCGAGTACCTCCCCCATTTTAGGAAACCTCCCATTTTATGATTTGCATATCGTCTAGTCAAGTCTAGTGGAACCATATCCCAAAATTTGTGGCCTACCAATGGAGAACCATCCTCGTTTGGATCTGAGATGACTTACGGCGTACGGACAAACACGTGTGGGACATCAGTATGTGCCAATGGGTAAATTCACTCCCAGTTGTTGAAATGTCGATGGATTCTGGATAAAGCATGAAAATTGCCAACTTGAAAAATTCGGCCATTTTAATTTTGGCATAAATTATTTTTTCCACATGGGTTGCCACCCAGCTGCGTTATCCATAAAGTCATGGGTAATTTTTGAGTCTTGCTCGGCAACTACCAAATCCACCTGTCACCAGCCGAAGGGTGCAAGGAACCGGCTAGGTATACCGTGTAGCATGGTAGAACTCAAACATGGTTGCTGCCATTGGAATGGCTAACTCGAAATGATAAACCACAGTTTAAAATATGGTTGGCGAATGGTTGTTTAATGGTTCCATCTATATACATACTGCAGTAAACCCATGTAAACCCGATAATACACCATCCATCTCCAGGTTTGCCATTGGGTTTCCCACATTCACGGATAATCTGGAAAAACAAATCTGGGATTTGTGAGAAGACAACCCCAGTCAGGACGCAGCTCTTTGGAATGGTCCATTGCACATGGAACTGACAATTTTTGAAGAGAAACTGAGCCCCTACATCGAAAGCACCCAGACCCAAACATGTACATCAGTGTATATCAATGAATATCATGGTATATCATTGTAAATCATTGTGTATCATTGAAAATCATTGAATATCGTTGAATATCATTGCCATTCACTGAATACCATTGTATATCATTGAATAACATTGGATTTCATTGAGTATCATTGAGTATCATTGTATACCTATCTATCTATCTATCTGAATCTATCTGAATCTATCTGAATCTATCTGAATCTATCTGAATCTATCTATCTATCTATCTAACATATGCAAACTTCGGGGCGAGGATATACCAAACAACCACAAAAGCTTGGATCCACCCGCGCCCATTCACACGGATGTGTCATAGCTACTCAACATGACAATCCATCTGCATATCCGAAACGGTACCCAAACATTTCACCCTCACAGCAACTTGGATTTTGTATGCATGAATGCGTGTGTGCATGTATGCATGTATGCATGTATGCATGTATGCATGTATGCATGTATATATATGTAATGACATGTAACGAAATGTCATGTAGTGTAAAAAAGTTATGAAGAAAGTATGTAAGCTAGTATGCATGCATGCATGTATGTGACGTCTGTATGCATGTGTGTATGTGTGCATGCATGCAAGCTTATGTGTATGTATATGTATGTACGTCTGTATGTTTGCATGTATGTCTGCATGTATGTATGTATGTATGTATGCATGCATGCATGTATGCATGTGTATGCGTGTGTATGCAATGTATGCAAAAACATGTGTATGTATGTGTGTATATGTATACAAATATGTAAATGTGTATGTAAATGTATATGCACATGTTTTTGTATATGCGCATGTAAATGCATATGAACATGTATATGTACATTTGTATATGTATGTATGTAGGTGGGTAGTGAGGTAGGTAG